TTTAATGTAATTTTTTTAAAAAAAAATAAAAAAAATAATTGAATTTAATTAAAAATTAATACAGCCTCAATTTTTGTAGTTAAAAATTTTAAAAATTAGTACAATAAGGTTAAATAATTTTTATACTAGTGACAAAAAATTTGATTCAATTTGATGAGATAGTTATTAAAAAATTAATTTTTAAAGTTTAAAATTTTTTCTTCATGTATGGTCAAAAATAATCTGTTGTGAAGAGGTTTTTATTAATTTTACTATGTAATTTTATTAAAATTATATAGTAAAATTAATAAAAACCTCTTCGCAACAAATTTTTTGACCATACGTAACAAAAAAAAATTTTAAACTTTAAAAATTAATTTTTCAATAACTATTTCATCAAATTGAATCAAATTTTTTGTCACTAGTATAAAAATCATTAAACTTTATTGTACTAATTTTTTTAAAAATTTTAACTACAAAAATTGAAGCTGTATTGATTTTTAATTAAATTCAATTATTTTTTTATTTTTTTTTAAAAATTATATTAAAATTTAGCTCTTATTTAAAAATTTTTCTAGTGATTGAAAAATTACCAAAAAAAATATATAATTTAGGCTAACTATTTGCTAAATTTTTGTAAAGTTTTAAGGCTCTAGAACCTCACAATGATAAGATATAGATGCAAAATTACTTTTGTCTAGTACTGTATTTCTTTTTGCAAGTTTAATAAAGCTTTGTTATACTCCAACTAGGTTCTTTTACCAAAATCATTCTGTATAATATAGTATCCAAGTGTTTTTATTGCATTTAATACTTTTTAATAGCTAATTTGACATATTTCAGTACTATCATCTTTCTTTTCTGTATTTTCATTTTCCACAGATTCAATATTAGTGACCAGTTCTACAATTTTCTGATTATTTAATACTTTATTTTTATCATTTTTACTTGGATAATTAATAAATTTCTCAAGATCCATTATATTTAAAAAGTTAAATGCTTCAATATCTGTATAAAGTTTATTTATTAATTTATTATTGTTATCATCAATAGGGGTTCTTTGCTATCTTAGATTTCTGAAAATAGTATTATAAATTAAAAATTGAAATAATCAATTAGTTGATAACCAATCAATTGAACTTTTAATATCAACTAATCGATTAATTGATTTATTGATTGATCGATTAGTTATAGCCAGTACTTAAATTTTGATATTCTTAATATTCTTTGAGAACATATAACAATTTTTATAAACATAAATTATTGGAAATATTCTCTATTTGAAAACATTTAACAAATCAAATTTTTTAATATTAAGAAAATTTGATTTTCTAATACTGAAAAACATAAAAAATTTTTTGAAAATATTAAGAATTCAAACAAAACTTTTTTTAAGAATATCAAATCAAAATTTAATTTTAAACATTAGTAACAACTAATTGAAAAAATTTTAATAATTTATAATACTACTTAGAAGAATTTTTGTATATCAGAAGTAGTTATATATAGTTTTTGATAATACTTCTCTCTATACTCTAAAAATAAATCTTATGGCAGTAAAAACATTTATTTTTTTATCATCATTAGCTTCATATTGATCAAGCAACTATTTTATAAAATAACTATAGTAATGACGCTTGAAGAATATAATGATACCAGCATCTATAGTCTAAAGACAGAATGTTGTATTTGAGAGAGATGATGTATAGTTGTATTGTAAAAAGTTAAGTTTTTGACAAAATGACTTTTTGCATCATTTACTAAAAAATTATCTTGCGACTAGCCATCTTCAAGTAAAAGTTTTAACCCACTTTTGAAACAAAATAGTTGTTATCTATGCTTTTTTACTCGTCTCATATATAATATCAAGTTTGTTGTGATTAATATCTTTAAAGCAACGTGGGTTAAAAGACTTACTAATTACTAATATTTTTATTTTATCTGTACTATCAGCATTGATACAAAGTGCCAAGATTAACTGGTCTAAATTTTTTTTCCTTTAAAACATTTAGTAGTCAAAGTGATATCTAGTTTAAGGCTAAAAAAAAGAAAAACAAATTAGTGAAAATAAGTCAATTGAAATTTTTGCTAATAAAATAGATTTGAATTAATATCACAAAGATCAAGATCCTAAAAGTACTAAATTTCTATATGCTAAACTCTGAAAGATCAAATTTTGATTCTGGAAACTAGATATTAAAAAAGATTGTAATTTTGAAAGATTATGATCCTAAAAAATTACAATCCTGAAAGATCATAATTTAAAAAGATTATGATTCTGAAAAATCATAATACCAAAAAGTATAATTCCAAAAAGTCATAATTTCAGAAGGTTATATCCTCAAAGATCACAATTATCTTCCAGAATTATGATTCAGGATTTAATGTATTATAATTTAGGTTTTGATTTTGAAATATTAATCCAAACTCAGAAAAATAATTCTCTGAGATTATATAAAGTTTATAAATAAAATTTATATAGTTTTGAAGAGTTATTTTTCTAGCAAAGATCCCAATTAACAAAATAATTTATTATTCTGATAGAATAATCTAGTTTCATCTATATTATAAATATCTTTTAGATCATATTTTTCTAATATCTCTTTTAACTTAGAAATAGCAACAATAATAATAGTATTATCTACAGAAGCATCCTCTCTGTGTTTTTTTACTTATCCCAAGCCATGCCTTTTTTTGAACTTGTATAGCCAACCTTGCGAGAACTTGAGGTTAGATATTTGTAATATTTAAGCAAAACTTTTTGCTTTTTCAATTAGAATTGCATCGCTTAATATTATTCTATTTTGGTTTTGTAAAACTCACTCAAG